CCCTGCCCCTGCCCCTGCCCCTGCCCCTGCCCCTGCCCCTGCCCCTGTCCCTGTCCCTGCCCAAGGGCAGAGCTATTCTGCAGAACCCAGGTGGCCCAACTCCACCGAGCGCACGCAGTCACTCCCGGGTTCACCAACTTTACTCCCCTGCTCTCAGACATCGCAAACCTGCTGGAAGCCTCTGACCAGGGGCTGCAACTTCCAGGCACTGCTTGGAAACATCACACCGCACACTCACCCAAAGAACCGCTAGCTTCCCTGAACTTAACTTTTCTTGTTTTCGCTGCTGGATTTCGCTGCAGGGGGTGAAGGCAACAGAAGGATCTCCAGCAGCCGCGCCCCCTTAAACCCCCCCCCCCACCCCCCCCCGGCAAAAATAGGTTTGCAACAAATGCAGACTAAGCCACAGGACAGTTCCTTCCTTCCTTCCTTCCTTCCTTCCTTCCTTCCTTCCTTCCTTCCTTCCTTCCTTTCTTTCTTTCTCTCTCTCTTTCTTTCTTTCTTTTTTCCTGATGTGTTGCCTGTGTGCCTGTGCCAGGCTCCAATCTGTCTCTGTTTGTCTCCCTTTCTGTTTGATTCAGTCTTCTTGTTGTCTGGAAGTACGCAGTGTGTGCATAGAATGACGCTGGAGGGACAGTAACTGTATCTGTAACTGAGATATGGCAAATAGGACGGGGTGCATGATTGCATACGCAGCCAGCCACAGACAGCTATATTTAGCATCAGCGGACACAGATAGGAGGCATCTAGGGCCAGGTGAGGGGAGATGGACCATGTATAGGAAGAGCTGCATTCGGAGTCAAGAGAAAACTACCAGCCTTCACCTTCCTCATATGCAAAAAATAAAAATAAAAAAAGCCCTGCTCCCCAAGGGGTCCCTTCCAGCACAGCTATGGCAGATTCGCCCAGCCTGGCTTTTCTGTTTTTGTTGGACCCCAGTGCCAAATTTGCTTCCTTTAGAAATTCTCATGTGGATATGATTCAGAAAAACCTTCGGTTAGGCATACATGGGTGTCCCTGCCTTCCACAGGTTATGCAACCAAAACTTGAGAAAGCCGAGCATGGAATAATACCTTTTCCCATGAAATATCACCTGGGGTCCTTAGCTAAGGCTCTGGCAACCAGGTAACCTTGTCTGTCTAACCAGAAACTTTTCAAAGGCTCTCCTACCTTTCAGCTCTTGAATTCTACAAATGGACCCTCTGGGTTCACTTGGTGTACGGTACACAGTATCTAATATTCGAATGACAAGGAGGTTAAAAGAAGTTTTTAATTCAGCATTGAATTAAATTAAATTATGATTGAGCACACACGCACCTGTTATTGCAAAAAAAAAAAGATACAAGCTTGGATAGTTTATACTTTCTTGATAAATTGTGTATACTCCAACCTGATATCCTCTAAAATAACCATTAACATAATGACTTTAATTGCTAGTCCATATACCCAGGAAGAGTACCTGACATATACAAATGTCAAGGTTGCTGTTACTAATAGTAACACTTTAAAAATATTTTCTACTAAGCACACCATCTAATTCTAAAAAAGACAGATAATTTTGGATAAACCATAGCTAAGCTGACTTAAATCTAAGGACAAAGTTGACTTTAGCATCCATAAGTATGGGTGACAGCAAAGGAATGGTTAAAAATACATTAGGTGAATCGCAGATAGTTCTCTCTGTGGCCAGCGACCATTACTTTCTAGAGCACTCTTTTCACAGATGATTTAGTTTCCGTAAATCACACTTTCAATTTTCAAATGCCTTTTTTAAAACACATGCAAAAGCAAGCACTTCAGATGAGGCTCTTTAAAAATCTGAGCCTGCCAAATTATATATAAATGGCACAAAGAATCCTACAAGTCCAGAAAGCGGGAAAAAAAAAAAAAAAAGGAGCCGCACAGATTTATCCCCCAACAGAAAAACAGCACAGCCTCCTTCTCCGGCTAGGATACAGACACTAAGCAGAAAGGTAAGTTGCTTTCCCAAACCGCTCAAGCTACAGAGAGAGAGAGAGGAAAATCAAAAACCAATCCTACCCTGCTGGTTCAAGAGCGTCTTTCCAGAAATGTTCCATGGGTTTGTAGAAGTCTAGGGCTGAGACAGTAAGTCGGAAGGAAGGAATGTGCTCGAATGATCGAGTGACGCGCTGTGTGATCAAGGCAGAGCGTGTGTGGATGTGTTTGTATGTGGAGTGGCAGGGACTCTCGGGAAGCAGCCAGTAGGCAGGGCACTTGGCAGCCCCTCCCGGCAGACGCAGCAGCTGGGCTTCTGCACGACGCTGGATGAATGGCAGCGGGGAGTCCGGGAGACTTGCTGTCTGCTGAGGGACCGCAGTAGCACAGCTAGAATCAGCATTCCTAGAAGGAACTCCAGCCCCCTTTGCTCCCTACCTGTGGAGCCAGAAATGTCCTGTGCTTTCTGCTAAGGCGAGGGAAACTGAGATGGCTGTAAACCACAGTTTCACAGATAAAGTAGAACGCCAGTCAAAGTGTGTGGAGATCAAGTTTGCAAACTATGCCAGGGGAGCTTCTTCCTAAACAATGTAACAAGAAAAGCCTTGTGGGATACATTTGGGTCAAGCTCCCTAGTCCCACTGCCCCTTCTGAATAAGATGCTCCGTGACTATGCTACCAGTGTCATAAGAAAGTCAGACTTCCCAATAATTTTTTTTTTTTGGCATTCCAGGGATATGTTTCCAACTGAAAGGAAAGATTCTCTCACTTCATTAAGTCAAACCCACCAGCCTCTCTACCAATAGCCCACTGACTACTGTCTGTAAACACATCCCAAAAGAGGTATTATTTTAATCTTAAAGTTAGGACCATAAAATAGCTTTGCTTTGAAGCAATCACAGGTTCAGTACTCTACTGCCGTTGGTTGTAGACAGAGGTCTTGTACTTCCGGTGGTGTGCCTTGGATGCACCTGCTTCTCAGTGCTTCTCTCCACCACAGCACAACACAGAGTAATGAGGTACTCTGACTGCGTCCTCACCCTGGGTCCCAGGACACAGGAGGCCCAATGAAACCTCTGTTGCCTGCCCTTAGTAACTACCTCAGGTATTAAGTGACTCTAACCGAAATTCCAGTCTCCAGCCCTAGGACCCTAGGCAGTTACCAAGAGATTTATGAGTGACACTTGAGCCAGTACAAAGAAAGAAATAGAAAATACTGATGAGCTCATGCTGCAACTATACATTTTTTGTGCTTGGAGAGACTCAAGGTCATGATATCAGGACATAGACAAATTCCCTCAACAATTGGCAATGGCCATAAATATCTAACATAAATAAATGTTGAGAGCTGTGGTATGAGTAATAAAGAACTTGCCTAGCATATGGGGAGCCATGAGTTGGAGATCTAGCACTGCACAGATGAACAAACAAATAGATAAATATTGAAAAAAAGAGAAATTGTTAACCCTTTCTTTATGGGTGATAGTGTTGAATCCTGATGGCGGTGGCACCTCCTGTAAGTCAACATCGATGTCATGTTCGTCAAGCCAGTCCAACTCAACTATGCAAAGAACGAGAGATGGTAGAGGACAAGGAAGTCAAGGAAAGTTGGGGGGGGCATCTGGAGATCTGCATGGGAAGGGTATAAGAAATAGGCTATCATCTCAGGGACTTTGGCTGTGGAGAAGTTTACAATCCCAGATAGCCTGAGCTTCTCTCAAGAAAGACATTTCCAGGAATAGCCTTCTGACTCCTCTTGGTAAACTCTTTCTCCCAGTGACAGGGATTGTGGTGAGAAGCATGCCCTGCCATGTTGGTTTTCCCCAGCTGCTCTAGCCACCTGTTTTCTCTCAGAGTTTCACCCCTCTCTTCTCTGTTGACTCCTACATTGAGCATTGAGAATACTGCCCTGCTGTTGACTCCATGGTTTGCCCGGGTTAAGGGGAGAACATGGGCTTCCCCTGTTTTCCTGCCAAGTGCAGCCTCCAGATCAAACACCTGTCTTCATTCTCTCCCTGACCCCAACACGGCGCTCCCTTCACACACAGTGTCGCTATCTCCCCAGTCACCAGCATTAAAGCTTCATCATTTTCTCTAGAGTCTGACACTCCTTTGCCTTCCTTTTAGCTATCCACGAAGCAATTCCCAAACCTGTAGTTTGCACGCTCCCTTCCCCTATGTCTTTTCAGCTGCCTCTTACCTGTCCTAAGTGCAGGTTCAGCTTCATCATCCCCCAAATCCCAGCTCTCTTGAGAGTAGAGGCCCTTCCCCTCTTCCAGACCTGTCTTTTCTAGTCTATCACCCCTAACAGTTAGCCTATGTCTCCGTCGGATGAATGAAAATTTGTTGTTCCGAAAACCCCAAAGCTTTTCTTTACTTTATTCTTTTTTTCTACTTAGAATATTCACTTTTCTGGCTTGGCAGAAAGCATCCACTTTCTTGAGGCTCAGACCAAGCGCTAGCATATCCTCAGCATCATCCTCCACCCTCCATCTTCTGAGTCCCAGTTGTAGTTCTCAGCCATGTATCCTCTTGCTCCCTGAATGGAAGTAATTTTTGTTGCCTAATCTCCCGGAGGAGCATCTCAAAGGCCTGACTCTTGAGAATCTGAATATGCAGCATCTTGTTTGCTCATTGTTAGGTCACCAAATATGGACTAATTTCCTATCTAGATACTTCAAAGGACAAAACACCACCCCAGTCTGTCTGAATGACTCTTTCTGAAAATCAACTTTCCACATGACCGTCCGGCACGTTCAAAACTGTGTTCTGCTAGGATGTTATCTTCCTATCTTCACTGCAACAGAGGCCATAAAATCAAACTTCAAATCCATCTAATCTCGAGGCAGAAGCCAGCAGTG